AATGAGGGAGCTAAGGACAAGGGAGCACCATTGCTATACTGTAGTATTTTATATGCCTTAACCCTTCTGCATAACAGGCTGCCATTGATCCACTGTTGACTCAGTTTATTCATTCATCAGACATTTATTGTATACCTACTCCTTTACAGGCTTGTTGTAAGTACTAATGATACTGAGATTAAAAGACCAACATATCCAGGGGGTGGGAGTAGTAATTGAAGAGCAGTTAGGGTCATGGAAAGATTTAATATTCTTAGGAATGGGAAGCATTCAAAGTATTTGTTGGCTGAAGAGAAAAATACCTGGAATAGGTAAGCATTTCATAGGCCAAGAAGAGAAATGGTGTCCAGTAATTAATAAGTACAAAGAAAGAAACCTGCAGGCATTCCTAATGAGTGACTGCTGTTTTCTCTGTGAGGAAGAAAGAGCACCTGCAGAACATTCAAATCTGTGTGTTAGGTGTAAGGCATAAGGAGCACCTTGGAAGCGTGGAACCACTCCCTGGTGGGTGGCTAGGGGCCAAGAAGGAAACAGCTGTGCATCATGGTGAGCCTATCTGTGATGGGAATTATGAATTTGTAACATGTCAACAATTATTTATTTTCTGCCAGCATTTAAATGTTAAAAGTGCCCACTAAGCTACTAGAGAAGCCCCTATTCTGATGGATTCCCTTACTTTTCTAATGAGGACATTGGTCATCAAGAGCTAAAACCTCGAACCTGGGCCATCAAATCCTAACTGTGAAATTCCTAACTCACTTCTAGAGGATACCAGAGACACAGGCATGGGTCATTCTGTGACCTGCCAGTGAGATCCTCTAGGCTGCTTCAGGGAGAACCATCTCCTCTGAAGGAAAGGATCCAGTGTCTCTTCCTCTCAGACCACTCCTTCCCTTTGCTTGTAGTGATGTAGGTTTTAGACTAACACGTTTTCCCTAGTTTCTGGCTACTCTGTTAGTCAGGATTCTTGTTTATAAGTAACAAAAATCAGCTATAACTTATAAACATAAGGAGTTTATCCAAAAGATGTTAGGGAGCTTACAGTTTCCCCCTGAAGGATTAGACAAATAAATGTGGAGATGAAGGGGCTGGCAGAGTGGCTAAAGTAGAAGAGCACTTGCCTAGCAAGTGTGAGGCTCTCCGTTCAAACCCTAGTTCCCTTCCCCACAAAAAGTTAAATAAATAATTGTGGAGACAAGGCAGCCACAAACTAGGTAGAAGCAGTTCCCCAAATCCTGCTGCAAGGACAGTCTGGAAGAAAAGGCATGATTATTGCCCTGGTTGCTGCCAGCAGCTTTGGCACCACTGACCAGCAGTGGTCACCAAAAGCTTCCACCAGAACCTCTGTCTCTGCTGTCTCTGGAACTGGCATTCACTCCCATGTACCCCAGAATGAGCTATTCTTGGCTTGTTTCCTTGGCATCACAAGCCTCCAAGTCAGGGTCTGGAGTGGGTGGTGTGATTATCAGGGAGCACCTCATGTGCCAAGAGCTGAAATTCACAGAACATGTGGGAAAGGAGTATGTGCATTCTTATCTGCTTTAGTGGATGTAGGTTCTGATATGAGTTGGGTGATGTTGGATGGCCATAAAGAACAGTAGATGTTCATTACAATGCCATGAAATGCATGAATAAATGTTTCAGTGTTATATTGGAACGCTAAGTTTCTCTGTGGATCCTCTATAGCAGACTATCTTAAATCCTTTGACTCTTTAGCGCCTGCAGATTTCCTGAAAATAGTGAGACCTCGGAAATGATTATGGAATGAACTTATAAGTGCTTGTTATCTGTGAGGAATATGTTCCAAGACCCCCAGTGTATGCCAAGCCATAGGTAGTCCCAAACTCTACATACATATCCAAGTTTAATGCCTTTTTCCATTTTAAGTAAGCATGTGTCACGCACTGTGGCTGTAACTTTTGCAGTTTGAGGTGTGACAGAAAACTAGCATGAATTTCTTTTCCTTCACAATTTCACAGAAGATTCATTCTTACTGTAGATCTTAGCAACCTCAGCATGTGATTTTTTTCCCCCTTGTGAAATTGAGAATATTCATCTTTACACTTAAAAGTAGCACTTTTATGGCTTTTCTTTTTTGGCACATCTAAATTGCTAGCATCACTACTCTTGTACTTTGGGGCCATTATTAAGTAAAATAGTGGTTACCTGAATAGAAGTACTGTGATATTACAATAGTTATCTTATACCAAGATTTACCACTCATTACCAAGTGATAAATGGACAGGTAGCAGATACATTGTGGATGTGCTTAACAATGGGATGATTCACATCCTGTGCAGGATGGAGCAGTGTGAGATTTCATCACACTACTCAGAACAGCACATAGTTTGAAACCTATTTTAAATATGTTTAAAATATAAGTCTATTTCTAGAACTTTTCAAATTAGTATTTTTGGATCTCAGTTGACAGTGAATAACTAAAACTGGCAAGCAGAACTGAGTATATTCTTTTAGCAAACATTTATTAGGCATATAATTTATGTCAAGCACTGTGTTGAGCACTGTTTGCAGGTCAAAGTGCCCTTGCTCAATAGCAAAGAAGAAAGTAATCAACAATAAAGACTGGGCTACCATGTACGAATCAACATATAAAGATAAAGATCTGGAGTGAAGAAATGCTGCTTAGGTAAGAAGTAGAGCGGATCTGAGTTAATGTCCCAAGTTGACATTGGGAATATGGCAGGCCAGGGGTAGAAAGGGTTGAAAACTCCCTACTATGATTTGGAGAGATGGTGGGAACAGAGGAAGTCAAGAGGGTGTGGGCACCTGCAGGAGCAGAGTGGGAAAGCAGCACTGGAGCTCTCCTCACTCTCCTCAGACTCTAGCACGTCTAGGGAAGTTGTAGCACCAGCTGACTCTTTTCTAAGTTACTGTAATGTGTGCTTACAGTGTAGCAAGCAATTAAATGTGCTGTCTTGAAAGTTCCTATAACATTGTCTTGCATGTTATTAGGACCATATAACCCTTTATATAAATAAACACAATATATCAAGGTTTCCACTTGGACTCAAATTCAGCCAAATGGCAGGTATATTCTTTCACCTTCGAGCTTTTTCATCCACCATCAGCTACATCACATTTGCTAGGTACTGTCCAAGTTCTCTGTGCTGTCCATAGCACTGCATCTCAGCCTTCTCTGGGCCCCTCACAACAGACACATCATGAGTGGTGCTCTGTTAGTAAAGTATCCTGACTGCTGGACCCACTGGATTACCTCCACTTCCATCCAGCAGTTCCTCCCTATCTTATGACTGCTGAAATTTGTGTGTGTGTGTGATTCCATCCAGCTTTTTAGTTGTGTGCCATGAAAGCATTGGTCCAGTTTCTCTCCTGACATTATTGGAAATGGAAATACAGGTTCATGTGCTTTTTATAGTTTAAATCTTATCCTCATGAGAATCTGAAAAGGGAGCTAGTAAGGATTTCTCTGCTCAAGAGATGAAGAAAATGAGGCACTGAGAATTTCAGTCTTTTTTTCATAGTCCTTTTTCATAGGGTCAAAGAGCTGGTAAGTAATGGAACCAGAATTAGAACCTGGGATGGTCTGGTTTTGGAGCTTGCATTCTTAACTGCCATGTCCACCCGTTTTCAAACAGGATAACTGCTTCATTGTCACAAGTATTCTTTTAAAGGTCAAACAAGCGAGAGCACACAAGGGAGGGGTGAGGATAGGTAAGACACCTAAAAAATTAGCTAGCATTTGTTGCCCTCAACGCAGAGAAACTGAAGCAGATACCTTAAAAGCAACTGAGGCCAATAGGAAAAGGGGAACAGGTACTAGAGAAAAGGTTAGATCAAGAAGAATTAACCTAGAAGGTAACACCCACGCACAGGAAATCAATGTGAGTCAATGCCCTGTATAGCTATCCTTATCTCAACCAGCAAAACCCTTGTTCCATCCTATTATTGCTTATACTCTCTCTACAACAAAATTAGAAATAAGGGCAAAATAGTTTCTGCTGGGAATTGGGGGGGGGAGAGGGAGGGGGTGGACTGGGTGGTAAGGGAGGGGGTGGGGGCAGGGGGGAGAAATGAACCAACCCTTGTATGCACATATGAATAATAAAAAAAAAGGAATAAATAAATAAATAAATAAATTTCCTAATAACACTTGAAAATGAAAAAAAAAAAAATAAAGGTCAAACAAGGGCTGGGGGTGTGGCTCATGTGGTGGACAGCCTGCATATCAAGCATGAGTCTTTGAGTTCAACCCTCCAGTACTACAAAAAAACCCAAAACAAAACAAAAAAAACCTCTTATCTCTAAAGGTCAAACAAGTCTCCACTTTTACATTCATCCCTCACATCTTGGGGCAAAATTGCAAAAGCCTAGCCATATAGAATTTAATGTCAATAAATACAATGTATTTGGCATCTTCTTAATTGGCCATGTAACATAAACATATATTAGCAATTAATTTGCTCTGTATTTTTGTAGATCTACAGATGTTTATACTTACAGTTCGGTTCAAATCCATTGACTATTGCACAGATTGTGCTGTTTTATTAAATTTGGCTAAGGCATACAAGGATGAAATGATTTATACATCTAGTAATTGAACCATTTGAATGTTTAGTATGGAAATAAAAAATTTTAAAGCTGGAATCTTTAACTCTGAAAAATGGTATTTGTGAATAGGACTCAGAAAATTTCATTTGTGCACTCTTAGGAGCCAAATAGTTGTTACGATTGTGCCAAACCAAGAAACTTCTGTATACCCCAAGTGACCCCAAACTCCACCAGGAAAGCCAAGGGCTCTCCAGAAAGCTTAGGGAATCCAGTACAGTCTCCAGCATTCTGTTAAAGACCCAACATCTGTAAATCATCAAGGGCTTTATTGCTTTTGCTCCATTTTAAGACATAACTCCTCATCAGGTCCAAACTAATTTGCTTTTGTTATTTTTTCTCTTTAAAGAAAAGGACCTTTCTGCCTTTGTTAAAACTAAAAGAGTGACATATATTCCAATTTCTTTTGACAGAGAAAAAGACAAGCATATGAAAATAACCTCATCTGTCAAGGCCTGCAGCTAGAGGCAACAAGATCAGTAAGTGTCAGTGACCATCCATGACCACTGGGAATTTGTGGCCACTTGGAATTCCAGTACTGCACTGGAAGCATGCAACCCTGGCTAAACTATAGGCACAGGCTGGGAGGGGAGTCAGTCAGAATTGCATCATATGGAATGTATAACTTTTCTCTGATCAAAGTCAACAGACCTATTTTAATAGCCAAGGAGTTTAATAATAAATGCATTGTGGATGATTTTCTTCCTTTAAGAATCTTTTAAAAGTTTTTCTATACAAGAAATAGTTTATAGAAAGAATTAGAAAATGTAAGCATAGGGAAAATTAAAAAACTATCTGCATCTTAATTACCCAGAAATAACTTTATAGTCCTAAACTTTTCTTTCCTTACACATTTATATATATAAATTTTATATTATTTATATGTATTTTATATTTATTTATATATATAAATTCCCCTTTTGAAAGGGGAAATGACCCCTTTGACATTTTAACGGCAATATAACATAATGAATAGATATACAATAAGTTAAGCAGTCCATTTCTAGGTTTAGAAAATTTAAAAGTTTTTCATTAGTATAGTATTGCCATGAATATTCTAGTGTTGTTATCTTAAGTCATTAATTTGGATGAAGTGATGGACAAATTAACAAGTTTAATGTTCTCATTTAAAATACTAGATAAAGAACTATGATAATTTAATTACTTTTTTAATAATTCAAACTAAGAAATTATCTTTAAGTAAAAATTTATGATGGTTTGCAGATCTTCACTTTTAGTGTTACCTTCTGTGCATGTGTATGAAGAAAAATCTGTGTTTTCAAATTGTGCAAACAATGGCTTGATTTCCTGGTCTGTGTTTTTATTCTTTTAATATAGGTTTTGGATGACAAGCTTGTATTTGTAAAAGTACACGCACCATGGGAAGTGCTATGTACATATGCTGAGGTAATGCACATCAAATTGCCTCTGAAACCCAATGATCTGAAAACCCGGTCCTCGGCCTTCGGTACTCTCAACTGGTTTACCAAAGTCCTCCAAGTGGATGAAAGCATCATTAAGCCAGAGCAAGAGTTTTTCACTGCCCCATTTGAGAAGAACCGGATGAATGATTTTTATATTCTTGATAGAGATTCCTTCTTCAATCCAGCCACCAGAAGCCGCATTGTAAGTCTAAACCAAATTTAATTTCTGTCTTGAAGTGATTTGGAAGCTGTTATTGAATAATCCAGTGATGATTAGATTGGTCAAATCTAAAATCTCATCCTTTTATTTTGTATCTTTTTTTTAGGTTTACTTCATCCTGTCTCGGGTCAAGTATCAAGTGATGAACAATGTTGCCAAGTTTGGGATTAACAGGCTTGTGAATTCTGGAATCTACAAGGCAGCTTTCCCTCTCCATGATGTAAGTCAAATGGCAAAAATGAAGAGGTCCCGTGAGTACGTGGTGGTGGCATTGGGGAAAGGCTAACCTTCCCAGCCTTATGGCTCGTCCTTAGTAAAGTAAAGATAATATGCTGGAAGACCACACACAGCTCCTTTAGGTCAAAGAACCAAACCCTCCTGTTCACTGGTGCATCCCAGGCATAGAAAAGGTTGAATGGAATGAATGAATGAATAACAGTTTTGCTCCCACAGTATAGTAGTACTGATGAGCAGTTATCCAACATGAGCATTTCTGGGGTCAGAATTTCTACTCTGTCACACTGTAGCTGAATGATCTTATGAAAGCCATTTTCTTTGCTCTTCAGTTTCCTCATCAATAAAGTAGGGTAACAATAGGACCTACCTCATAGAGTTTTTATGAGGATTAATTGAATTAACCCATGTCAAATGTTAGTCCCTAGTATGGAGTAAGTGCTATATTTAAATGTTAACTTTTTTTATAATTACTGACAAATGTTATTATCAACCAAAAAAGTATTCAGTCTTTGTAAGAAAAAAACATGTTAGATATTCTCATTTAACACCTTCTATAAATAGACTTTCCCCCCTGAAATACAGTTTTCAAAATATCCCAGAGCTTGTTAAAAGGCATCAGTCTATCAATTTGTCTGACTCTCCAAAGAAAGCAAAGGTTGAGATAAATTGTACTGATGGATGAAGACAATATCGAAATGGACTGTACAGGATAATGAAACTAAGACACCAAACAACTACTTGATACACATGGATGAGCAAAGAAAAGGGATCTGGGTGGAGAAGCAGGTAATGAGCTTCCTGATTGAGATATCCAGTGTGGCCATCCAACCAGACAAGTCTGCGTGTTTTAATTTTGTGCCCCAGCAAGATTAGCAGCTGTAGTATGACATGAACTTTAAGGACACTTGCAAATAGTTGTCCTGAATATTAATCTGGAAAGCCACAGTTTTATAGTATTCACTTGACATTTGCCCACATCATGTCTTTTCTGATAAAATCTCTTTTAACTGCAGTGGTCCCATATCTAGGCCAGGGAATGATTCTGTATGGTATTCAGGAGAGAGCTGACTAGAGATCAGGGCCCATGCCAAGGCGTGGCTAGGTGGTAATCTGGTTCCAGTACATGAAGTAGGAGGATGAGTCAGACAGAAAAGTGTGACTGAATTTAAGCAGAGGCAGGAGGTTTCATTTCTTGAATATGCTAAGGGTGTAAATGATGTCAAGTTTCTTTGTTGTTGTTGTTTTTTTTCTGATACAGTTTATCACAGAATAACTGCTGAATTGGGAGACAAAGAATCCTGAGTTTTAGAATTGGCCAGTGCCCTGGTTTTCCCATTGTCAGAGGAAAGGGGTCAGTTGTCAGATGTTCCTCTATTGTAGGGATTTGGGCACTTGGGTGACCCAGTTTTTTATTTTTTAAGGCAGCCCTATGTGTAGGACACTAAGCATCCCTGGGAATCCCACCAAGCACCCCAGAATTATAACATCCAAGCATTCATCTCCATCCATATTCATTCACAAATGGTCACAAGGAAGATAGCAATAACCTGGTTTAGAGTCACTAAAAATTCAGCAGTATTTCTGTCCCTTCCAGCAAGAGAGGCCACATTTAATAAACAGGTTTGTGAAATCATGATGACTATGTCACTAACTTGTTATCTTCTATTTCTCAGTGCACATTTGGCTGTCAGTCAGAGGATCCCAGCTGCCCTAATGAACGATACCTTCTGTACAGGGAATGGGCTCATCCGCGAAGCATATACAAAAAGCAACCCTTGGACCTTATCAGGTCGGTTATTATAGAGTGCACCCCAGTGGGAAGCACTCAGGGTTACCCTTGTGGCATTTTAAAGACAATATTCAAATAATACTATCAATCAGGGAAGCTCACCCACAGCTCTGAGCTCAGAGTTTTTATTGAGGCTTCATTATGTAGGCGTGATTGATGGACTCATCACCCATGTGGCTCAGTCTCTAGTCCCTTTCTGCGCTGGGAGTGTAGCACAGTGGTAGAGTGCTTGTCTAGCATGTGCAAAAACCTGGGTTTGAAACCCAGTACCATTCCTGCACCCCTTCCCCACAAAAAACTATAGTTCCTTCCTATCCCTGCAGGTCCAGTCAGTATCACTTGGTTCACAGCCACAAGTTTGTAATCACCTGGTTGATCTTTTTTGGTATGAACAGCTCCATCCTGAGTCATCTCATTAGCACAACCTGTCTAGGGCCCACCATGACTCACCTCATTGGCATAAACTTTCAGGTGTGATCCACAGAGGCCACAATGAATAAAATGACATTCTTATCTCTCAGGAAATTCCAAGGGGTTAGAAGTTACCTCCAAGGAGCTGGGAGCAAGATCCATCAAATTCTTTACTGCACAGGAATAAATATAGATTTGGTTTCTATCTTATGTTAAGACATAACAGTTTTCACTGTTTTGCTGTATCTGCTGTGAGGTACAATCTCATTATATCTCATAAGAAAAAATGACTGACTCAGGGCTTGGCTTCTCAAAGCACCAGTGTTGGCTATTCCATAAGTTTATGTGGTTTGAGCATATGCTCTATGTACTGCTGGAGGGAGATAGACCAAAGAACAAACAAACAAATACAAACAAGCAAACAAACAATAAAGAGAGGAAAAATTTTTTCAGTTCTGGTGATCAATTTAAACTAGGACCTCAAGCATGCCAGGCAAGCACTGTACCACTGAGCTACATCCCAGCCCTAGAAAACTTTTTAATTGAAATAAAGAAGTAACAGAGATGAGATTAGGGGGTAGATAAGGAAGTGAGTCAAGAAAGTTATCTTTGAGTAGTGATATTTTAGCTGAGACCCAAATAGTGAAAAGGATCTAGCACTTTTTGGAAGGAGTCATTCCAAAAATAAGGGTAGTTTGTACAATGGCTATGCAGCACAAAAAGCATTTGGCAAGTTCAAAGAAATGTGGAAGACCAGTGCTCATGAAAAAGAGAATGAGAAGATATAAAATAGGAGGGGTAGCAGGATCAAGGAAGGAGTTTAGACTTGAAGTGCAATGAGAGGCATTCAAGTAATTTGTTTTCATTCACATTTGCAAAGATAATGAGGAGAATGGATTACAGGGGGCATAGGATGCAAGGAGACCAGATGGGAAGTTATTAGTGTAGGCCAGGTAAGGGACTGTGGGAGCAGACTTGGAATGTATTTTGGGATCAGAGTTGACAGAATTTGGCTGAGGATTGGGTGTTGGGAGTATGAGGAGAGAAGAGCAAGGTTATCCTCAAGTCACGTGGAGCCAAGTGACTGTTCTTTCTTTGACATCTCAATTTTAAATATATAAAGTCTGCATGTTTCTGTCACCCAGCTGCAAAAAGTATATGCTTTTCAACTTTATCTCTACCTCCTTGTCTCCTTCTTCCACTAGACCATTTGAAGAAAATTCCAAATATTATTTCCTTAACATCTATTTTTTAAGTGACAAGTTCTCTTTTATATATAACCAAAATACCCATTTTTAAGAAAAATAAACAGTAGTAATTCTTCAATGTCATAAAATAATCGATATTCACATTCCCCTGATTATCTCAAACATATATAATAATTTTTTGGTTCAAATCAGGTCCAGATATGATAACTCAAATATCTCTCAAATTTCATGTAATCTGTAAGATTTTTTTTTCTTGATTTCCTTGCAATTGTGCAAGAATTCACTGCATTCTCCATTTGCTAATTTCATTCTCATCTCTGGTGGTGTTTGAACTTGTTCCTCTGTTCCATGAGTTCTTGCTTTAGCTAAGTAGTGAGATCTTTATCAAAAAGTTTGATGTATTTTGTACAAAAATATTTAATGCATGTAGTCAAGTGTTTCTATCACAAGGTACATAATGTCCAGTTGTCTCTTTTTTGTGATGATAGCAGTCATTCATAAGAACTACGTTAACCTATTTGCATTACTATTACAAAATACCCAGGCCTAGCTACTTTATAAAGAAAGAGGTTCATTTTAGCTCACAGTTTTGGAGCCTGAAAGTCCAAACAGCATAACGCCAACTCTTTTGAAGGCCCCCCTTGCCTCCTCATGGCAGGGACACACGTGTCAGGGAAAGATCACATGGCCAGACAGGGAGCCTGAGGAAGGAAAGGAACTAGTCTCGCTCTTTTCACAACAATCCTCTTGTGGGAACTAACTCATGGTCTCGTGTTAATTCCTTCCAAGGGTGACGCCTCCAACAACTTCCCAGTGGATTTTATCTTTTAAAGGTCCCACCCCCATTTAATGCTTCCATGTGTGAGACTAAGCTTTCAGCACGTGACCATTCTGGGACACGTTTACACGTCGTCAAAATCATAGCAAGAACATACTCCAGGTACTGTCCTGAGCGTGCTGTTTGCTAGACCACAAAGCCCAAGTCACGTGTAAGTGAGCACACTTTGCTCAACCCAGCTCCTGATTCCATGCCAGTCCCAGCCCTTCCGTTACCCCAGGGATGTAGTCTCCAGCAGGCCTGTGATCTGTGGTGCTGGTATCAGTAAACACTGACCCAGCCCAGAACTGCTCCTGTGTGAAGCCTCCCACGACTGCAGCTTGAGCCAAGTCCCTACTAGGAGTTCACCTCAGCTCCATTCTGAACCTCATGTCCCATATAGGCCTCAAAACTGAGGAAGTGTCCAGGTGCTGCAGACTAGATGGAGGCAGACACAAGTCAGTTGGGAAAACAGGAGCCTAGTAACACTGCCTTACCATCACATCACTGTTTCCTCCTCATTCCCAAACCCTGTCTTTGCCAGGAACAGTTCTGGCACTGCTTCTTGCTTACCCTGCCCTCTTTTAATCTCTCCTCCTACCTCTTCCATTTCACAAAGTGCACATTCTTCAATGTTTACAACATAGAAAAATAAGAAGTGCTCATTGCAAAGAATACAGGGCAGTGGATTCCTGAGTTGTATCCATCCTGCCCTTTCCCACTCTCAAAATGAGTTGTATGGAACTTTGATCATGATACATTCCACTACAGCTTGGCACAGTGGTCCCCCCACCCACCACCACCTGCGGTTTTACTTTTGGTGACTTCAGTTACCCACAGTCAAAAAGAAGAGGTGGGTATGGCTCAAGTGGTAGAGTGCCTGCTTAGCAAGCACAAAGCCCTGAGTTCAAACCCAGCACTGAATGCGAGAAAGAGAGAGAGAGAAAAGCTAAATATGACAAAATAAGGTAAATGACAAAATTTTGAGAGAGACTATCTTCACATACCTCTTACTATTAGTCATCTTTTACTGTGCATATTTATAAATCAAACTTTACCATATGTATGTTTGCATAGGGACAAAACATAGTGTATATACAAGGTTTACACTATTTAAGGTTTCAAGACATTGGGTTCCTTGGAATGTATCCCCCTCCCCCACAGGTAAATGGGACAATTATATTATATCAGTCATTTTCTTATTATTATTTGTGACTTATATTACATTTCCTCCAAAGGAAGTTTTCTAAATCAGTAAAACCAGATAACTGAGCAAATTGCTCATTTATTTCATGCACATAAAAAAATAATCTTTGATGAATATGTAAAATTGTGCTAGCCTTTACAAAGAATGATCGTGTTACTCGTTTGTTCTTTTTTTCAGCAATAATCCCTCTCATGTAACTTTACTTTGCTTCAACAGGTAGTGATAAGGCTCTGTAGTTCTATAATGTGTGATACACTTTTCATTTCATAGTAGAACTCAGGATCTTACTGTTAGATGAATACGTTCTGAGGGTGATTTGAGTCAGAGGTTTTCACTTAAAGCCTCCATTAGTTAAGACTCAGAAGTTAGTATTGGGATGAAGCTGAAGAGTGATTACCTGTGTGTTCTAAAAATAATCTCTTTTTCTTCAGGAAGTACTATGGAGAGAAGATTGGGATCTATTTCGCTTGGCTGGGCTATTACACTCAGATGCTCCTCCTGGCAGCAGTTGTGGGGGTGGCCTGCTTTCTCTACGGGTATTTTAATCAAGAAAACTGTACATGGAGGTAACCTCTGTTTATTCCTGTTACCACTCTGGAAAGTTGATTAGACAAAAAATTATTTGCAGGATTTTAGACTCTCCTGGTAAAAGAAGACTTGTCACAGAGCGTTCGTTGCTTTGGATGAGGTATCCCCTTTGTTCTGAGCATAATAACTAAGTGAAATGGGAAAACATTTTTCTCAGATAATCCACCCCAGCCTCTGACAGGAGCATTGCCCTTAGGAAACACTCCAATATTTTAAGACAATTCTTTGTTTGAAAAAGAAAGGAGGACTTGAGGGAGGATTACCCTTGAACTTCTGGCCCCACAGGAATGCTTTGCTCAGCCTTGCAGAGCTAGGCAGAAGCCCCTCTCATTTCTTCCAGGTTTCAGTGGGAAAACTGGTGAAGCTTTCTGCTTTTCAAAATGACATCTCAATCTTAATCTAAAATAAGAATTGCATGTTTAAAAACTCAAGTAACTAGTCATGGTTTTGTGTCTTTATTTATTCCTCACAATGTCAAGGGAAAAATAAATAAGTGACAGAGAGTGCGCTTGTGCTCGATGTCGGAATTAAAATACCAGCTGCACTGGGTAAAGGAAATCCCTGGATACCAAGCACTCCAAAGGGCTGTGAATTGTGTTGTCATGCCTCTGCTTGTGGGTGTCTTAGCCTCCGCAGGGGGTGTAGCATGAACCACTGTCTCTTGATCAAGCGGCCTCTATCCAGGTGTGACAGCCACATCAGAATTTCTGGGCACCAACAATGAGTTGATGACCAAATTTTACAAACTTGGATCCTAAAACAAGATGCGTACACAGCAGCCCTGAAGCATCAGGATAATTACCCATTCCATTTGATAGAGGATTTTGTGTCTTTTGTGGCTTTTCAGCTAGGAAATGCAGAAGGGTTTTGAAGTACTCTCCCCCTCTTACTGAAAAAGACTTTGGGACGGATAGCCAAATGCTGACACCCTGCCCCCAAATTTTTTTTTCTTCTCCACTGTTTTATATATTGTTTCAGCCTATGCTAACTAAGACATTTCAAAAATAGATTTTCAGAGTGCAGAAGTCACATTTTTATAAAATTCTCATGGGGTTGTTCTTGTTATAACTCATGAAATCGCCACGGTAGTAACATTTCATATTTCCTGCCATTTCGCACAGATTAATTTATAGAGAATGAGGTCTTGGGGATTTACTGCCTGTGCTCAGAATTACTTTACTTTACTTGATTATTGAGTATCTTTAAAATGTTTAGAACATATAAATTTTTAATTTTTCAGTTGGCTCTTTTATATGCTAATAGAGTCACAAGAATAGAAAAAATTCTGTTAGGTATAAGGAATAATGACCCATCTTCCAATTTAAGAAAAAGAATATTATCTTGAATTAACAGTGCTTTGTTCAATTGTGTCCCTCCCCTTCCACTTTGGAAACAGCTAACATATAAAATTTTGTATTTATCATTCTTTTGCATTTTCTGTATTTTAAATCACATGTCTGTTGCCCTACAAAGTACATTTAATTCTGTGTGTTTTTGAAAACATGTATATACAAGTGTAGGACACGATGGATATTTCCTCTTCTTAAAATGCAGACTCAAAATTTATATCCTTCTTTTAAAATAACAACTTTATCATGATATAATCAATATAATATAACATGCACCTATTTACAGTACACAATCAGATATTTTAAGTATATTCTTAGACTTGTACAGCCATCACCACTATCTAATTTTAGAACATTTCATCACTCCCAAAAGAAACCAGTGTCCTTCCTTTAGCAGTCATTCCCTATCTCCCCTCTCCCTTGACCCCTAGCAACCATTAACTTTTACTGTTTCTTTGGATTTCCCTACTCTGGACTTTCCCAAAAAATGGAGCCAGGCAGTATATGGCCATGTGTGACTCCTTTTTTCACTTACCATATTGTTTTCAGGGTTTACCCATGTTAAAGCATTTATTGGTATTTCATTCCTTTTGTGACCGAATAACATTCCATTTGATGGATATGTCACATTGTCTATCCACTCATCAGTTGATGGACATTGGGTTATTCACACTTTTGGGATATTAGGTATAATTTTGGGGAACATTGACAAACATTTGTAGGAACATGTGGTTTCAAATTTCTTGAACAAACAATGGAATTGCTGGGATACATGGTAATTCTGTGTTTAACATTTTGAGAAACTTACAATGTATTTTCCAAATAATGTACCATTTTACATTCTCATTAGCAATGTGTGAAGATGCCAGTTTCTCCACATTCCAGACAGCATGTGGGTTTTTGTTTGTTTTTACTTTTTTTAATATTAATCATACTAACTAGTATGATGTAGTATATCATTGTTGTTTTTGATCTTTATTTCCCTAATCCTTTTGATAGTGAGCACCTCTTCATGTGTTTGTCATTAGGATAGCTTCTTTGGAGATAGGTCTGTTGAAATCTTTCACCTATTTTAATTGTGTTGTCTTGTTCTTGTTGAGTTGTGTTCTTTATATATTCGGGATATAAGTTCCTTATCAGTTATTGTCTTAGTATCTTTGAACTTCTGCAACAGAATACCAAAGACTGGGTAATTTGTAAAGAACAGAAATTTATCTCTCGCAGTTCCAGAGGGAAGAAGTCTGAGATCAAAGCACCAGCATTTGGTGTCTGGTGATGGCTGTGCGTACTTTGGAAGGATGCCATGTCTTCACGTGGCAGAAGGGCAAGAGGGGCAAACACTTCCTGTCAACTCCTTTATAATTCCATTCCTGAGGGAGAAGGCCTCAAGTTCTAATCACCTCTCACAGGTCCTATCATTTAATATGACATAGGCAACATCTGAATTTTGGAACAGACACATTCAGACCATAGCAGATACATTGAAAATACTCTTTATTATTTTGTGGATCAATTTTTCACTTTCATAGCATTTCTTTGAAGCACAGTAAATTCTAATTTTTATGACATCCCATTTACCTATTTTTTTCTTTGGTTATCTGCATTTTAATGTCATATCTAAGACGTCAGTAATCCAAAATCATCAAGATTTTCTCAGTGTTTATCTTCTAAGAGATTTGTAGTTTCAGGTCTGTGATTAATTTTGAGTTAATTTTTGTAAATGATTTGAGGTAGGGGTCCAGCTCTTTTCACATATATATCCAGTTGTCCCAGCACCATTTTTGAGGAGGTGCTTTCTTTCCCTGTTGAGTTATCTTGGCAATCTGTTGAAAATCAGTTATCATATGTGTAAAAGTTTATGCACACCTAGTTCTTTTCCACTGATCAGCATATCTGTCCTTTATACAAGCCCTGTACTAAACTCATTGCTGTAACTTTGCAGTAAGTTTTGAAATTGGAAACTTCAATATGTTCAAGATCATTTTGGCTATTTCAGGTCCCTTGCATTTCCATGTAAATTTTAGAATCCACTTATCCATTTCTACAAAAAATTCAGCTAGGATTTTGATGGAATTGTGTTGACTCTCTGGGTCAGTTTGGGGGAATAGTGACATTTTAAGAGTATTAAGTCTTGTTTTCCATGAATACAGGATGTTTTAACATTTATTGAGGTCTTTTTAAATTTCACCAGTATTTTGTGGTTCTCCATGTATAAGTCTTATACTTCTTTTTTCTTTTTTCCTTAGATATATGATAAGTATTATATTCTTCTTGATACACTATAAATAAAATTGGTTTCTTAATTTCTCTTTTGGATTACTTATTGTTAGTATATAGAAATACAGTTGTTTTTGTATATTGATTTTGCATACTGCAACCTCATTGAAATGTCTTTTTTATCCAAATAGGGTTTGTTTGTTTTTTTTGGTGAATTCCTTAGGCTTTTTATATGTAGTATCGTGCCATTTGTGAGTAGAAATATTTTTTCTTTCTTTTCAACCTGAATATCTTATACTTATTTTTCTTGCCTTGTCCTAATTTCTTCTTCTTTTTAAAGGTTAGAATACTTGGTAGACAGTCTTTCTGTTTGCACTTAGTATTCATTATCCCACTGCCTCTGGACGCCATAGTTTCTGATAAGAAGTGAGCTTCTAATCTTAGTGAGGAGCCTTTGTGTGTGCTGAGTCAGTTTTCTCTTTCTGCTGTCATGAGTCTTTCCACAGCTCTGTCTTTCGACATATGGAGTATGGTGGAACTAGGTTTGGATCTTGGAGTTTTTCCTACTTGGAATTTGTTGAGGTTGGAGTTTGAGATTAATGTTTTCAACAAATTTGGGGAGTTTTCATAAATTCTTCTAATTTTTTTTTTTTTTTTTGCCCCTTTCTCTCCTTTTCTTCTGGGCCTTATGTAATGTTTGTGTTGGTTTGTCAATGTTGTCCCTCTAGTGTCTGAAACTGTATTCATTTTTTTCATTCTTTTTTCTTTCCATTCCTCAGACTAGACAGTCTTAAAGCTCATAGCTTTAACTTCACTCATGCTTTCTTCTGTCGTTTCCCATCTGCAGAGGAGCCCTTCTGCCGAGTTTTTCATTTCACTTATTGTACTTTGTTGCTCTTGAGTCTCTAATCGGTTCCTTTTAATAATTCCTGTCTTTATTGATATTCTCTACATGGTGAGACATTGTTCACGTACCTTCCTTTAATTCTTTAGATCCATGATTTTCTTTGCATGTTGAAGTATGTATAATTGCTTATTTAAATTGTTTGTCTAATAAGTGCTATGTGTGAGTGTCCTCAGAGTCAGTTTTCATTGACTGCTGTATGTTAGGTCATTTCTATTTCTTGGTGTATCTTGTGATTTTTATATTGAGAACTTATTATAATGTGGCAAATATGTATATCAGATTTTCCCCCTCTTCAGGGTTTGTTGTTACTTCTATTTGGTGTTTTCACTACTGCTATTCCTGGACTAAATCTGTGGTCTATATTCTTTGTCATGTGTGGGCATTGAAGTCTGTTCAGTAAGAGTAGTTGTTAGCTAATGGGTGAATTGGCCAGTAATTTCATTAAAGGATGAAACCAATCCTTCCCTTTTCTCTGCCTGTGAGTGTGTATATGTCTGGTAATGTGTTTAATACTCCAGCAGGCAGTTTTCAGCTCTCCCTTGCCTTTTCCGTAGGCAAGAACCTTAAGGTTCTTGTGCAGAAACTCAGGGTTAGCCAGAAGTGAAAGATTAAGGTTTTCTTATGTCTTTACTGGCCTTGTGCACTGTCTGACACATGCATGTGACCTTCCACAAACTCAGGAATGTGTTAGAGCTTTTTAAAGTCCTTTATGGGCACCTCAGTCCCTAATTCTTCCTTTTAAGCTTTTGCACTAGCATCTGCTGGTATCACTGCCTCAGGCAGCTGCAATGTTTAATTCCTGCTGATTGCTTTCAACTGACAAATTAGGGATTGGGCCTTTCGCACAGTGTGAGCTCTGAGTATAAGACCACAAATAACAAATCCTCAGCATGCAGCTTTTTCCAGGCTGCTGCTGGACAGGTCAAATACTGACAGTTCTCTGGAGATGAAGTATTTTGGGACACTCCAAACTATTTCTACCCCATTCCGGGCTACTATGCTGCTATTTTTCACAACTCCCATGGCTGTGAGGCTGGTGGTTTTTAGACTACTGTGAAGCAGGGGAGAAGAGATGGGAACTGGTCAGGTTAAAATGCCATGAACTCACTATTCTTATAGAGATTAGCCAGTTTCCCTCAAATAAATATTCCTCCAATCACTGCACACATTTGGCTAATTTCCAGAGTTCTGCAAAGGTTGATTTTTGACAATTTTTGCCAATGCTTTTATGAAGGATTGGGTTTTCCAAGTGTTTCCCAAGCCCATTTGTTTTTACTGAGTTATTTGAAGGACCCCATAGGGGTCCATCTGCATGGCTTTTCCTAGAGGAGCAGTATACAACTGTTTCTTGATTTTTCTTATTATTTTCAGGAGTTCTTTAAATACTCTGAAAAGTTATCCTTTGCCATTTTTACATGTTACAAAACTCACCAGTTTGTGCCTAGTGTTTTTTTGCCTTTAATTTTATTGTTTAATGACATTCTTTTTAAAATTTGACTGTCATTATTTTCCTCTATTGCCTATACTTTCTTGTTTCATGTTTATGAACTCTGTCCTTACTCTAAGTTGAAGTTGACACTGATGGCGTTCTCATTTCCCACCTAGAATTGAATTATATGTTACATTATTAGGGGTTTAATTTCATGTTTTTCCATATGGATATTCTCTTATGCCATCCCATTTATTGAATTAGCTCTCACATCACATAGTTGCTGGTCCAGTTCTGTCATAAGTCAGTTTTTGTATAGGTAGAGACCTATTTCTGAACTCTTTATTTTGTTACATTGGTTGTTTTTCTTAGGCTACACCAATAATACCTTATTCTCAAGTTGTGTTTTCACTATTCTGAGCTTTTGCTCTTCCATAGAATTTATGGCTTAAATGGAACAGATCTGATATCTTTAAATATTAATTCTTCTAAATTATAGATATCATTGTGTAGATTTTCCTCACTGTCTTCAAGACAGTTTTATAATTCTGCCATATAAATCTTAACACATCTTAGATTGGATTTATTCCTAGACATTATACATTTAAGTTATTGAAAACAACATTTAAAAGTTATTTTCTGATCATTGCAGGTATACAGGAACACAGTTCCTTTTTGTGTCCCTGGGTATCTTTTATATATTGATTTTATGTCCAGAAAACTTACTAAACTTATTCTAATAATTTATCCATAGGTTCTATTGAGTGGTCTGTCTAGGCAATCATGTATTTTGTTAGTAGTAACTGTTTTCTTTCTTACCAATCCTCATGACTTTGTGGGGTTTTTTTTGTTTTGTTTTGTTTGGCTAATGTGCTAGGCAGGGATCTACAACTAAAAGAAGTGATGGTAAGAGGATCCTTTGTCTTATTCCTAAACTAAAGGAAAGACTTTCAGCACTTATTGAGTGTGATTTTTATAGGTTTTATGTAGCAAGTCTTTGTCAAGCTAATACAGGTCACTTCTATTCCTAGTTTAATAAGAATTGAGTTTTATTTCTTACCATGGATGGATACTGGATTTTATTATGCTGTTAAAAAAGGAAGTCCTTTTCATTAAATTTTTTAAATTACATTTTATTCTTCTCTTTCTTTAGCAAAGAAGTTTGTAATCCTGATATTGGCGGACAGATCATAATGTGCCCTCAGTGCGATAAGCTCTGTCCATTTTGGCAACTCAATATTACTTGTGAATCATCGAAGGTAATTTTTGTTATTCCAATTATTTGTACACAATAAAACTTTTTTCTTCCAGTGATCATTATGTGGCCCTAGACGTTCTGATTTACTCCATGTAAGTCTGATTTTGACAGAATGTATTGCTATTATAATGATTGATGCTACTTTATGTATCAGTTCTTGTGCTGATAGCATCACTTTTGACACATACAGCAGCTTGTGATACAGGAGGAATTGTCATCATGTCCAGTTTACAGATTAAAACACTGAGGATTTGAGAGATGAAGGAGGAATTGTCATCATGTCCAGTTTACAGATTAAAACACTGAGGATTTGAGAGATGAAGCAGCCTACTTAAGGCTGCCCCCCTAGTAATTGGCAAATCTAGAAACTGATTGCAGATCTCATTTCCTGACATGACCAGGCTCCTCGCCAGCCAATGGCACCAGGCACTTCACTCTCAAATCTGCATCTATATTGAAAAATTGTTCCACTGCCTGGTTAAGGTGAGTTATGGGACACTGTCACCATGTGGATTTTTACACATTATTTATGAAATAAAATAGATTTAATTGCTCCCCGCCCCTGACACAAATTCTATACTGTAAATACCTGTAGCAGATTATACAACCAACATCATGGAAGCTGCTTTCCAGTGATTTTATTTCATAAATTAAAGGTCACTAATTAGTATATATCCTGAGGCCCAAGACTTAAGGCAAATACCAATGGTGGTACCAGAGGCAAATTGTGCCCCTCAAAAAGACTAATGGAAAGTCCATTTCCCCTAGAAGCCCTCACTCTAGTCCCTCCCCTACGTCTTCTCTCATTACTTTTATTCCACCTACCCATCCTACACTTGACTTTCAATGTCTCTGTGGTCTTCTCTTCTTTTTCCTCTTCTTCCTCTTCCTTTTTCAAGGAAAACATGGGTCTTTGGTTCTATTCTAATTTCCTGAAGGATCCCTTGAATCTTTTTTTTTTTTTTTTTTTTTCATTTTTCTTTTATTATTCATATGTGCATACAAGGCTTGGTTTATTTCTCCCCCCTGCCCCCACCCCCTCCCTTACCACCCACTCCACCCCCTCCCGCTCCCCCCCTCAATACCCAGCAGAAACTATTTTGCCCTTATCTCTAATTTTGTTGTAGAGAGAGTATAAGCAATAATAGGAAGGAACAAGGGGTTTTGCTGGTTGAGATAAGGATAGCTATACAGGATCCCTTGAATCTTGACAGAATCATTTCCAAAGGGAAAGAAACATTTAAAAATATGAGTGGAGGATGAAATAGAGAAGAGATAGTTCAAAGAAGAGCCCCTTTTCTGGCTTTTCTGATTGTTGGCTAATTCAGTTACGTTTTCCTTGCTTAATATATGTAATATTTGTATGTTAATTTCTATCTCTTTTTCTAAAGAGATCCACTAATTGACAGGTACACTAAAAAAGATTAGCAAATTAAAAGTAGAAATATAAAATCAGGACCAAGGAAATTAAGAAACAATTACACAAATAACAGGGACTGTTACTATTTTTTTTGTGACTAAAGTTGGAATAAGAGTCTTAGCTTTGTGGCTGGTAAGTTAAAAGGAAAACATGAAAGTTCTACTGTTTTTTTCTGAGAAATACATTGTTATAAAGTTTTGGTTTTGCTCCTTTTCAGGAAGAAAGCATAACAGATGGTTATTTTTTAAGATTCTGATTGGTTCCTGTGCCAGCATGCCTTCATATGCAGCTCTTGTCTTTCCTATTTCACATGACTCAACCATTATGCTGACTTAGGGCTAATCTTAACAAAATGTCTTGCCCTGTCTTTGCCATAGTGCCAAACACACTATGCTAGACTTCTTACCAAGAAAACCCTTTACTTTCTCCCCTATTTCCATATGGCTCACAGAACAGAGCAGAGAAACCAAACATCTTATTCTTTTCCCTGGGTCCTTGATCCTATCACAGTGTGGCCCAACTGCCCCTTATAGGGATGCAAGGTACATCCCCACCTTAAGGTTAGGCAGCTAGTGTGATCTTGGCAGTAGTGGTAGATTTGCCCTTCCTCTTTGCTTCTGTTTTTGTTTTTTTTCATTTTCTCTGCTACTGACATATGTGTTTCCATTGATGTTTTTCCAAAAGAGTAGAGCCAAAAATTCATAGGTAAGGTTTTTTTCTTTCCAGGGTGGATGGAGTCAGGGCAAATACAGTGATATCAAAATAGAGGCTTGCATTGATTCCTGAAATGGGAGTGACATTGGACAGAATCTTTAGTAACATCATTATCGCATGCAGAACTATTTTTCATAGGACATTTCTTGTAGTAACTTGTAGTAAAGGATAAAGCATAACACTAAAAGACAGCTTGTAAAGATTTGAAATGTGTCATGTGTGTGAAATCCCAAAACTTTGACTCCTTGTTCCCCAGAGCTGTTGCACTTTTATTTATTTTATCTTTCTTGAGCTGGATTTTTAGACTAATAATTGAATGAGACAATATAGAATTATGCTTTTGATCAAGGTCTGTGTGGATGATTGGGGATGCATATAAATGTGTGGGTGTGTAGACACACATGCTTTGGAAATCAGATGGATGAGAAGGTGTATATTCTTTTATGAAAATCACATCACTAATGTTTTTACATAGATGAAAGTTTACCACATTATATGAGTATAAAGAGCTATCCAAAAAACTACCTAAAACAGAAGTAGACTTCCTGCTTAGAAACAGCTTTGTTATTACTTGAAAAATTTTTTTCTACCTCTGACTTCTTTTTCTAGCCAGTACCCTTCTGTATTTTTCATATAATCTGTTGTAAAGTGGACATAATATATGGTTGTCACTTTTTCTGTTATCTTCATAGATTTTTTTCTTTAGAAAACTATGCTCAGCAACAAAAAATTATTAACTAAAAGATTTTCCAGAAGTCATAGAGGGAAATAGGCTATTTATATGCTAGCCATGAGATAAAATTTAGCAGAAGTAGTGAACAGAGCCTTCTTTGATAAGATGTGTTATCATGCATGATCGCCTTACTGGTAATGTTAGCAGAAGCACCTATGTAGCCTTTATCCTGGTGAAAGCACCTGTCAGCCACAAGAGAAAAAACATCCTTAGGTTTGAGGAAGTAGAACTCTCCTGGACAGGAGCCATCTTCACATACACCCCCAGATTTGTACTTTCTTTTAAACAAGAAAAGGAGGAATTCTGGAACTGAACCTCTGAGAGGGGATAAGATGATGAAAAGAGGCAAATCATAAATCTGAAAGTTGTTTACAGGGCACTGTATTCTTAAAGCCTTCTTTCCACTTCCTCATAGTCACTATGACAGCTCATAAAACAAGCTGTTCTCCAAGCCTGATGGAAGCTTTAAACTGAGTGGAATCTTTGCAGCTGCACCTATTTCTTTATCATAATATGGAAAGATCCATTGGATGATGCCCTCAGGTTAACACAGCAAAGACAGTTGGCTTTCAAAAGAATGAGAAATTCTTATTTATGAGGATGAAGTACATATAGTGATTGTTAAACTAGTATCAGCTTTAAAAAGAACTTCACAGCACAGAATACGCTAAGCATTGCCTATTTACTTAATTCTAATAAGTAAACCACCACATTTGTCTGTTATTATATATTTTTCAGAAATTATGCATCTTTGACAGTTTTGGAACCCTGGTCTTTGCAGTATTTATGGGAGTCTGGGGTAAGTCATTTTCACTTTTTTGCAGGAGTGTGTGTGTCTGTACTCAATAGAATTACATACTTTTGTGTAGGCTATCAAAATACTCACATTTAGGACCTTGGATCAGCTAAGCTTTGGCTTTCCAGAACTCTGTAACTGAAGCCAGCAATGCATCAGTTAGCTGTTTCTGAATAAAAATCTACTTCAAAGTGTAGCAGCTTAAAAGAACAAACCTGATTTCTCTGGGTCAGCTGGAAGGTTTTCAGGCATGGACTGGCTCAGCTGATCTCTGCGGTGAGCTGGTGGGGATGGTCTTGGCAGTAAGAAGTCTACTTTGGTCTGTGGGGCTCAGCTGGGAAGGCTTTTCTCTGCTCCACATGGTCTCTCACCCTCAAATAGACTAATCCAGGATTCTTCACATGGCTTTAGGGTTTTAAAGAGAAGCAAGAAAGGACAAGCCCCAATTCGTCAGGCATTTTTAAGCCTATGATTGCACCGAATGTGCTAATGTCCCATCAGCCAAAGCAAGTCATATGGCCAAGCCTGTGTGGGGAGTGGGAAGACTTGGATACAGGAGGCACGATTCATTATGTATAGGCCATTACAATTTGAGTAACCCTTATCCCAAATGCTTGGGACAGGAAGTATTTCAGATTTCAAGAGTTCTTTTCTCCATATTTTGGAATATTTGCATAGACTTACTAGTTGAACATCCCTAATCCAAAAATCTAAAATCCAAAATCTTCAAGAGCTAGAGTACCTGCCTAGCAAGCAGAAGGTCCTGAGTTCAAACCCAAGTACCACCAAACTGCTCCAAAATCAAAAGTGTTTTACATATCCTGTCAGATTTGAAAGTATTTTGGATTTCAGATTAGGGCTGCTCAGCCTGTTTGCAATAGTCCCCACAGCTGTAATCCAACCTAATTTTTATGGAGATGGGGAGGAAGCAACACCAGGATTATAGGTGACCTTCTTTTTTTACACTTCTGTTTGAGTGAATATTAATAAGTATGTTTTATTCTTATAATCAACAAATTTACATAATAAGTAGAGCAGATATAATTCTACATAGTTCTGTGTAGCAACTTGAATACTGTTTGACTCTTACAATAATAAATTATATGTAATAAGTAGAGCAGGTATAATCCTAAAGAGTATGGATTCTTTAGGAACTTGAATACTATGTTCATCTTCCTTACTCTGTGAAGCATTGTTAATATAACGAGGCAATTATTTTCTTTAAATGTAGACTTTTAAATGCTTAATTGATGTAAATGTTCTAACATAGAAGAAAAATTCCCATTTTCAAAGATAAATGCATTTCCAATTTCATTGTGTAAGTCAAGGGGCCACAAGGTTCAGGATATAGGAAAGAGGGAAAAGGAACTGAACCATGTTCCATCTTATCCTGAGAGGGCAACACTCCAACATACACAGTTCACAGAGACAGGCATTGCCAGGTGTCGTCAGCAGTGTTTCTTTTGACCCATGAAGGGTCACCAAATGAATCATTTGTACAGATAACCAGTTATTTTTTACACATTTGAGAGCTATTAGCTGCTCCTCCTGAATAAAGTGAACTATAAGATGGCCAGATCCCCCAACAAGCGACATTGTCATTCAGACATTAGTATGTTCTTACTGGAGACCACACTGTTGCAGATATTTGACACAGAAGACGAAAGAGGTGTAGGGACATAGCTCAGTGGTAGAGCACTTACCTAGCATATGTGAGTCCCTGGGTTTCATCCCCAGTACCTCAAAAAAAAAATGAAAAAAACCTAAAGATCAGATTCCTGTATTAAGATCCGCTGTACTCCTTCATTGTAATAAGATACATCATTTATTCCAGTAAGAGCTTAGGTGCTGCATACACAGTAAGCACTTTTCACTGATGCCTTGACCATCATCAGTACTAGTCGCTAAGATTCTAACACATGTGTTGAACTCCATGTACTAGTGGATGCTGCTAGTTTCAATTAAAGAGGACATTGTAAATAAGGCAAAAATGGGTATTAATTTTGACACAGGAAGACAAACCTCAAATTTCCTAGCTATGTTTCTTTTCTCTGATCACTAACTATACCTTGTTTATAGAACTGTCTTACATACTGAGCTGCTGATTCTATTTTGTTTGCTTTTAGAATGCAGAAACCATTTCAGCTCTGCTTGTAGCATCCTACATATGTCTTTAAGGATGTGTATTATGATCTCTTTAAGTGCTTTATAGTTGCTTTCCTGGTTACCTCTGCCTTATGAGAACTACTGCTGTGAACCTCATTACAGAAAGTCTAAAGCAGCAGAGCTGAGCAGGTGGGAGGCTCATGTGAACTTATTATCACCGTCATGCTATTCCTGGAGCATCTCCTTTGTGCCCAGATGCATATGGCACTTAAGAGCATTTTTCTGCTCCCTAGAAATGATAATTTGAGGGTAGAAAAACTTTCATAGTCAAGATAGTACAAATCATATGCTTATCCTGGAAATGTCCATCTCTTTAGGCAAAGCCTTGATCACAGTGATTCATGGAGTCCTAAACACAACCCATCTTTCAAGTAAAGGTTCTGAACACATCCCTACCCTCCTCATTCCTTGGTGTTTCTTACCTACTTCCACCTGGTTCTCCCTGGCTCATACTCTTGGCCTCATGACAGCAGTTCTCAGTTTTCACATTTGAGGGCTGAGTTTTAAATGATTTCCAGAAAAACAACAGACACCTGGCTCACAAAGATCCAGGGAATCAGGTAGCCAAACTAGCTGCACTTGGGAACCCCTGAGGAAACAGCTGTTGTAACCATTAGTTCCAGACCTGCTCCTGCAGAGACCACAGCAGCAAAATAACACACTTCCTGCTACCTCCACCTCTGCCACCATTCAACTCAGTTTCTGATTTCAGTGACACACAGATGCATCTCCTGAGCATTTAGAAAATCACTTCTGGGACCCTAGCTGCAAGAGAGTCTGAGAAATGTAACTTAACCTTCTAGTCCTCAAGTTAGGAAGGTGCAATGAAGACTCACCAAGCTAATTTACCTTATAGGACTTTGTGAGTAATGAGAACTGAATAGTTTGGAGGCTTGTTAAAATATCTCAGAACTTTAGCAGAAAACTTGTGTGTGTGTGTGTGTGTGTGTGTGTGTGTGTGTGGTATTGGGGTTAGAACTCAGGGCCTTGTGCTTGCCAGGCAAGTGCTCTACCACTAGAACCACACCCCCCCATACCTTTTTGCTTTTGTTATTTTTCAAATAGGGTCTCACTTTTATGTCCAGGCCAGCCTGGACAATGATCCTCCTATTCCAGCTTCCCATGTATCTGGGATGGCAGGAACACATCACCATACCCAGTTTTCTGTTGGTTGAGATCAGAGCTAACAGACTTTTTGCCCACGCTGGCCTTGAACACGGTTCTTCCAGTCTCCACCTCTCAGTGAGCTAGGATTATAGGTGTGAGCCCCTGCACCCAACTAGCAGCAAACTCAGCAGCCACTCAGCAACCAGAACACTCCCATCTATCAGTGTGTGTCTTGTCCTTACATGTTGCCAAATATAATACTATCCTCTTTTGCTCCAAATACCTGTTTTTTTGTGTATGGGTATTTTCTTCATCTGATCTATATTTTCTTTAGATGTAATAATATCATAATGAAGAAGCAAAGGTGTTTTTGATTCCCAAGACCCAGGCAACCCTTCCTCTTTTCTTATTATATGTTGATGTAAGAGTTCTCAGTATATCTAATTGACTAGATCCGCCTGGTATGTGGTTTGCCAGAAAACAGAAGTGCGGTCCTCCCCAGTAGAGCTCTACTAGTTGCCTCATTCCAAGGGAGACAGAGCGGAAGGCGCACAACAGAATTTCCTGTCTGTGATCAAGCATGGTCACCCCAGTTTGGAGCTCTTAGTCTGGGATACATAGTATATGTCTGCTGTGGAGTAAGTACTGCACAGCACTAGGGATTGGACTAGGTACTAATGCTTCCACAGACCCCACAGAGTCCTTGGCTGCATGTGAAACAAGGAACCAAAACACCCTGCAACACCAGGGATTTGCCCTCAAGGTTGAGGATTTGCTAACAACTCAGTATTTTTCACCAAGCCATTTCTGCTTACCATACAGTCCTATCACTTCCTAGGCAGAACACTTCCTGAAGCTCAGGGTTTGGTAAACAGCAGCCTTTTTAACCCTTACATTCAAGTTCAAGGAGGAGGGGGAAAGGTATCCACTGTGCTTTCTTTATAGCATTGATTAGAATTGCTTATGTTGCTTTATGTGAAAGGGAAAAAAGCTAAGTTTATTGTCTGTTGGTACTGTTGCTAGATAGATACTGAGTAAATGGCATGATTTTAAAGATGATGAAAATGACACTCAGGTAGATGAAGCAAATTACCTAATGTCCCAGAGACAGAAAGTGACAAGCATAGTATAAGAGCTCTGTAAATAATTTGGCTGTTCTCAACCTTTGGATCACTGACAGAATGCAGTGTATATTAATAAATCTGTAGCAAGCTTTTAGAAAGATGTAGAAATATTTATTGTCATTGGTATAATTGCATTATTTTATGAGCAGGGGGGCTCTGAAGAATAGGAATGGGTTAGAAAACACCAGTTCTGTCTCCTTGATTTTTATCTCACCTGCTGTGAGTTCATACCCTTCTTTCTATAACAGGAATAAGAAACCACCAGTCTAATGTAGGTTTATGAGATCACTAATGGTTTGTTTCACTTATGCGTATAGTTAGTTACTGCATTAGTCTGTTTTCCATTCTTACAACAAAGTACCTGAAGCTGGATAATGTATAAAGAAAACAGATTTATTTAGTTCATGGTTTTGAACATTCAAGTTCCTGATGCCAGCTCTGTAGAGGGCCCCCTTGGCTGTGTCACATAGCAAACAGCATCATGACAGGAACATGCATGAGAGGGAAAGGTCTTGTGGTGAGATAGCAAGCCAGAGACCGAGGAGGGGCCATTCTAACTCTTTTATGACAACCCCCTCTCTTGGAAAGTAACTGGAGTTTCATAAAAAATATTTAATCCCCTCCCAGGGCAGTGACCCTGGTGATCTAATCACCTTCCATCAGACGCCACCTCTTCAAAGTTCCACCATTTCCCATGGACCAAGTTCCAACATATGAATCCCTTGGGGGATATACTCAAACCATATCTAGCCCATGGGAGATGCCAAAGTACAACAAGTGGGATTTTAATGTCTTTTATCACAATTTCCTTTAAAAGAGTTATGTTCAGATTATATTTGAAATTTGTGAGGGAAGAGAGTACACAAGGTGATCCTGCAGTCCATCTGCTCTGAACTCTACCCAGTCAAGAATGCTGGAGTTGACTGTGACTTCAACTCCAAGCTGTCAAAGGGCCATATGTGATTGTACACACCCTAATCCCAGCTACTCAGGAGGCCAGAATTGGGAGGCCAGCCCAGGCAAAAAAGTTAGCAAGACCCCCATCTCAACCAATAAGCTGGGTGTAGTGGTGCCGTCTATGAAGGAGACCTCATACTCTCTTTCATAGGAGGATCACAGTCCAAGGCCAGCCCTAGGCAAAAGAGCAAGACCCTATCTGAAAAATAACAAAAGCAATGAAAGGACTGGGGGCATGGCATTTTTACTGAGATCAAACCCCAGTACCACCAAAAAAATTGAACTGTCAAATTCTCCATGGTAGCCTGATGTGGTGCATACCCATAATCCCAGCCCTTGGGAAGCTGAGGCGGGGGGATCATGAGCTCAAAGCCAACATGAGCTTCATAGTGAGACCCTGTCTCAAAAAAAAAAAAAAATTCTCCATAGTACATTCTTCATCTGGGGTGGGCCAGAATGTACTGAGGGCCCAGGTGGATTATTATAGCAGAGAATGGTGAAAGTGGATGGTCATACACAGAGGGAGGTTGTGTCAGCTGAGACTTCTGAGTAGATGACTTCCCAACTGGTGGGGTCCTCCCAGTTTCTGGCATGGCTTCCTTCAAATCATTTGTTCAGTGCCTACTGTGTGCAGTGGCTCAACTGTGAACAAAACAAAATCCCTGCTGTTGTGAAGGTGACATTCTCATGGGCATGAGAGACAGTAAACCTAGAAGCAAATATAGGTCAGGCTGCACCCGTGCTACACATTTTGAAGAGCTTAAGAGAGGCTGGCATAGGAAATAAAGTGTAATCTTCTTGAGAGACTGGGCTATCACTGGAATTTCATAGTGATTGTGGAGCACTGAGAAAACTTCAGGGTGGGGGTATGTGCAGTTCCAGACCCCTACTTGAATTCACGTAGGGGTCTTCTGTTGGCAAGGATATATGGATGTTTACCAGGGAAGTGCAGGTATATGGGACTTTAATAAGTGAGCAGCTATGTGGTGCTGTTCCATATGCAGCCCAAGGAGAGTTGACTCATGGGTGACTCTTTTGGGAATGTCTGCCACATGAGGTCAGTATGGATCAAGTGGGCAGCAAGACCAGCCAGTCACAGTTTGGTCCACATAATTACCTAATGCCCTTGAGGGTTTCTGCAGACAGTAGCCAGTTACCTCATTTCCCCATGAGCAGGGAAGAACAAGGGCACCAATGGCTGGAAAGCTTCTAGTGTGGAGCCATCACTCTGTACCCCAGATGCTTGTATTCACGTGGGGGTCGGGGGCTTGGGGGTGTTTAGTTCATGCTCCTCCCACTGCATCCAGGATTTCCTCCTACATCTCAGGCTGCCCATGTAGGTCTGCATATCATCATTCCAGTCTCTTCATTCTCTTCTCAACCTTGACTGCTTACTAGGGCTTTTTTAAAAAGCCCATATGCTGAGGCCCCATTCCACACCAGTTAAATCAGAATCTCAGGGCTGGTGCCTGGGCTCAGTATTTTTTAAAAGCTTCCCAAGTGCTTCTAATGTGTAGCCAGACTAAGGACTACCACTCTATAGACACCTTGTTTAGTGGTCTCACCCACCCCAAATCTGGTCCAGCTGACAAAACAGTGAAAATTCCTGGTTTAGCCCAGGTCTTCCCCTGTATCATAGACTGGACATCAGCCCACTGGACACCTCTCCTTGAGCAGCCTGCAGGCACCTAATCATAACTGGGCCAGTTATTTCCTCAGATTTGTTCCTCTTACTGCACTTCTCTACTACAATTAAGGATACTGCCCAAGCCAGAAACCTGGCTAGCATCCTTGACTTCTTTCTTCTGCCCCTTCTGTCATACCCAGTGTCCATTTAATCTACCTGTTCAACCTCCCTCAGTTACTCTGCCTCTTCAGACACCTCCAGTAGGTCTCCCTGCCTCTATCTAGTCTTGCTCGAGAGTACCTTCAATGTCTCCTCCACCTTTAAGTTAAAGCCTGAGTCCTTTCAAGACACACAGAGACCTTTGTAATGTGTCCCTGTAAGTCTCTCACCTGGCTGCCCTCACTCTCCTCATCAGACACTTAATCCTGGAAAGTACTGACACTCTGGCCTTCTTGCCTTTTCATGGGGAAGTCCCTGGTGGGGAGTGGCCTTAACTTTCCATCTCTCACCTCCTTTATCTGGTCAGCTTGAGACTTACCACAGTAGTCCCCTCCTCTGGAAGGCCTTCCCTAAAACATCTGCTTAGATGTTCAGGCTCTGTGCCCAGACCAATCTGCACTTACCATTGTCATGGTCCTCCTAATAGTCTGTTGTACTTGTCACGCCTATGCACCCAGGAACTCCTTGAAGCAGACACTGTGACCTGTTTCTCTTTATTCTCAGCACATAGTTGACACTAGAAAAGCAATTGTGAATGGAACAGTGTTAATGCCAGAATTTCTGTGTGGGTAGTAGGCTGATTGGTAGAGCCTATAGAGAATTCATCCTGAAACTACATCTTCAATTAACAATTAATGTTTTCATTTAGAATTCTGAGTTACAAATTCTGAAAAAATAATTCCTCGAGACGTTTTCATACTCATACAAGATTGAGAAAAATACCAGTTTTCCATATGAAAGAATATTATTTTAGCTTATTTGAAGAGTACTGAAAGTGTTCCTCTCTCTCCCACACCCTTAGGAAGAGGAGGACTAAGAGGGAGAGGGATACAGGGAAAAGCAGATTGAAGGATGCACCATAAACTGCTTTTGAATAATGACTAATTTGTGTTTTCAGTTGGCAGGAAAGTGCTGGTAGCAGAGCATTAACCTTGAACATACTCAAATGCCTTCTGGCCATCCCATTATTAGTTCCCCAGAAGCTACACAGCCTGTTTTATAATTTGAGTAAATTATCAATATTTTCCTTAAAAAAAAAAACACTTCTTCCTTTTTACCTGTTTACCGTATTCAAAAGTGTTACAGGTGGTTAATTTTATTCAGTATGGATTTCTGAAACATCACTCCTTGTCAACACATATCCTGTTCTCTTCCTTCATTAGTTACCTTGTTTTTGGAGTTTTGGAAGCGGCGCCAGGCAGAACTTGAGTATGAATGGGATACGGTTGAGTTACAGCAGGAAGAACAGCCCCGGCCAGAATATGAAGCCCAGTGCACCCACGTGGTAATCAATGAGATCACTCAGGTAAGGAGGACACTGTAGAGACGAGCCTCAGGGTACTCACTGCAGTGCCTCTCAGCCGTGACTGTACGTAGGAATCACCTATGGGGCTTACAAACTACTGAGGCCTGAGTTCCATCACCGCATCCCCTGAGGGGCCTTTCATAGCCCCGGTATGTTCTGGACAGAGAGATTTTTTTGATGCTGCTTGGAACAGTCGACAAAGGAGATAAATAGTCATCCCTTCTTTGGTAATAACAGTAAAAATGGCAGAAAAAAATAGACTATGACATACATACAGAAGGAGAGATGCATTGGTTTTTATAGGTGATTCTTAGTTGTCACATACAGCTTCACTACAGCCCCTAATTCATCCCCAATTTGCCGCCCCCTCATCCTGCACTGAGCCTCAGTCACTGCTCCACCTTCTGGCTGGGATGTGCGCAAAGTAGTTTGGCTCCTATTCTAAAGTCAGAAAAACAGGATGAAGAAGGGAAGCATTTATTGAGGTCCAGCTGTGTTCAGGCAGTGTGCTAGGCGTTTTATGCCATTGGAAGGGTATATTTGCTGCTGTTACTATTGCTGCAGAAATAGATAGTAGAACTATAAATCTCTCTCTATATATTTCAAAGCCTCAGAAAGGTGATTGTTTGAATCTTCTGCATTATTGCTTTTTTCCATCAACACAGGAACTTTAGGGCTGATTGTACATGGGAGTCATCAGCATAGGAACAGTAGGTTTTGAATACAAATGGCTCTTGGAAACAAAATAGTTTTACCAAGAGTATCTGAGAAACATCCCCAACTATAGATTTCATAAATCGAATCACAGATTTATAGAATGTTACTACTAAAAAGGACTGCAGGGAGCAATTCAACCTCCTCATTTTATAAATGGAAAAAAATGAGCTTCAGTTATGAATAGAAGGTGACATTTATCTCTTACAATGTAACAAGCTTCAAGTTATTCCAATTATGAATAGTTACTGCTGTTTACCAGAGAAGACAGGGTCAAAGCATGTGTTGCTGAAAGAGTACACAGGAATGAAAGCTAAAACAGAGACAAAATTAGATGTTCAGAAAGTGCCTTGGGTACTGAAACATAAAAGTATGCAGTATCGGAAACAAAGAATATTAAAGAAAGAACAATTTAGACACCAAACCTACCAGTTTTAAATTTTAAAATGTCGACTAATGAGACGTTTCCATTGAAATGTTACTTGTTACGAAATTGCAGGCTAGGTGCAGTGGCTCACACCTGTAATCCTTATTATTCTGGAGGCAGAAATTGGAAGGAGAACATTTCCAGGCCACTTGGGGCAAAAAGTTAGTGACACCCTATTTCAACCAATGAAAAACTGGTACACACCTGTCATCTCAGCTCTGCCAGAAGCATAAATAGGAACATAAGGGTGCAGGCAAGCCTGGGCATGGAAGGAAGACCCTATTTGAAAAATAATGGAAGCAAAAGGAAATGCACTGGGGGGATGGCTCAAGTGGTAGAGCACCTGCCTTAGCAAGCAAAGCATGAGGTCCTGAGTTCAAACCTCAGTACCTCCAAAAGTAAAAGAAAAAAAAAAGAAAGAAATTGCAAGTAAAGTTTCATTTTTCTTTGTTTCCTTATTTCACTTTTGTTGTTAATCTATCCTCCACTGGTTTAGAGAGGCCTGTGGTATAATTGTGAAGTCTTAGGAAAAAGACTGCCTGAGTTCAAGTCTGAACAAAACAACTTACTAGTTGGGTAATATTGAACAAATTATCTGACTTCTCTGGGCCTCAGTTTCTTCATCTATAAAATGGGAATAATAGAGTTGCTTCCGCATTATTGTAGTATGGATTGAGTTTTTATGAAGACCCACTTAGATTGGTACTTAGCACAGAAAAATGCCATCTAAGAATTTGCAGCTGTTATTAGACTGTAGCTGCTCTTACAATCCAGAGAAATCATGAGAAGTATTGATCTCTTCTCTTAACAATCTAAATATATTCTTATTAACTACACAATGGAAATTGTTAAAAATTCACTGTTACACTAAATTAATATATACAACTCAGCAAGAAACCCATATTGGATACCTAGTGTTTACAGACATCGGGAAGACTTGGTGTCCTGCCTGGGCTCTTTGCCATTATCATAATCATTTTAAAACCCAGGAGGAGCCCAGGAATGTGGCTTGGCAGCTTGGCCCTGTCAGATACCTGGACTCCTGAGCTCAGGTTATGGCAAATAAATACTTGCATTTTCCAAAAACTGTTATTAAAATGCACATATCTTGGTATGTGTCTGAAATTATTAACAAAAAATGTGTAATTATGAGTAAGGGGTTGTGGTTTCAAACTAATTTTTTTTTAAATTAAAGCTAATAATTATTGACTGATCTGGAGAAAAATCATTTTATTTAAGGAGTAATCCCCTTGCTTGGTTAAACTTCGTTTTGTTTTGTCTTTTTTAATTAGGAAGAAGAGCGTATCCCCTTTACTACCTGTGGAAAATGTATTCGAGTAACCCTCTGTGCCAGTGCTGTCTTTTTCTGGGTAAGAACCTGTCACAAAATTCTTTTTTTTTTTTTGTAACTTTAAAATTTTTTATTACATAACAGAATTTTCAATATCCAGTTTCAAATATCAAGGAAATTAAAAGCCAAGCCTGGGGCCTGTGTGGTCTCCTAGAAAGAGATGTTTCCAGACTGATGTTTGGCCACCTGAGTAACTCCCTGGGTTGGAACATCTTACTGTGCTGGGTTCTTCCAGCTCCTCCCTCACTGGGTTCAGCCCAGTCAGTGGCTCAGGGTTTCCCAGCGTGTGGCTAAGAGATCAAATGGGAGGCATAAAGAATTCTGAAAATGTGCAACAGCAGCAATCAAAATGTTATAAATAACCTTAATGGAAAGATAATAGGAACTACTAAAAAAAAGAAAGAAACCATAAAAACTACTGGCAAATATGGAAAAAAGCCTTAAACAGTGAGTTTAGATGAAAAGACAGTATTTCTAAATAATTTTAGATTAAACATTTCTGAAATACCAGAACTTACTGAATTAGTTTTAGGTTTATTATTAGTGAAATAATATTAGTAACATAATTTATTGAGAGTTTTGTTGGCTCAAAAACACCAGACCAGAGATTGGGACATGAAGGGCAGCTAAGCTCTGATATAATAATTTAATATATGAGAAGAGAGACGCTAAATATTATAAATCCACAGGGTAAGTAAAGGTTATTATTCCAGTAAACAGTAATAGAATACTCTCTAGCTTTTGGGGTGGAGGGGAAGATGAAGGTTAAAGCCATATTTTGAACTGCACTTTATAATAAATTCCAAAACCAGTTTTAACATGTAAAGCCACAAACTAGAAATCAATATTAATGGATATACAGTGTCTAGGTAGACATGTCAGAGGAAAATACTTAAAGATTTCCATACACTAACTTTAAACAAAATACTAGATGAAATATTTCTTAACAGAAGGCACGTGAAGGGTTAATACCTTTACACAGAGTCCAGAGCACCTGTAAGATAACACCACAGATCTCAGCAGCGACAGAGAGAGAACGTGAGTGCACATTTACAAAAAGAAGATGTAGTGGGCAATAAGCATGGAACCTCAACAGTAAGTAAATCATTGCACATTAAAATGAGGTGCAATTTTTCATCTCTCAAAGAAGGTTTCATGTTTGTGAAGATGGAGTACAGAAACAACTATTCTTATACTATGCTAGAATTTTATTTTGCTCTAGCTTTCCTAGAGAGGAGTTTGACAACATGTATCAAGAATCTTGGATATTTGTATGTGTGCTTTAATCCACTAATTGAGCTCTTAGAAACTTTTAATGAAGAAATATTTCAAAGCTGGGTATGGTGGCGCGTGCCTGCAATCCCAGCATACTAGGAAGGCTGAGTCAGAAGGATCTGAAGTTTGAGGGCAACCTGGGCAGCACTTTGAAACTCACTCAAAAAAAGAAAGAAAGAAAAAAAAGATTCAAAATGTTAAGTAAAGACAGATGTTTATCACAATATTTTTTGCTGATGCCTCCTCCCTCCCCACCTCCCTATCACATTTGTGCACACACTCACTTACATACACACTTATGAGTTTATATCTCAGCCAAAACATAAGTGTCCTACTTCAAACCCCATAGAATGGAATATTGTGCAGCCTTTAAAAAGTGTGATCTTGAAAATATTTTATGACATGTGAAAATGCTTATGGTTTATGATAAACTTAAGGGGAGGATAAAATACATAAAATGGCTTTAAATATACAAATAAGACATGGTTCTGAAAGAATTAAGCTGTCATTTAAATAGTAGGTGAATTTTCCTATTTTCTTCATAGTAAAGAGTCTTTCAGCTGTAGGTGATGAAAATCAATCTCTAATTGGTTTAAGCAGCAAAATGTGGGAGGGTGGGACTTCCTGTTTCCCGAAACTCTAAATTCTCTTTTTTTTCTTTTATTATTTATATGTGCATACAAGGCTTGGTTCATTTCTCCCCCTAGCCCCCACCCCCTCCCTTACCACCCACTCCACCCCCTCCCTCTCCCCCGCCCAATACCCAGCAGAAACTATTTTGCCCTTGTTTCTAATTTTGTTGTAGAGAGAGTATAAGCAATAATAGGAAGGAACAAGGGTTTTTGCTGGTTGAGATAAGGATAGTTATACAGGGCATTGACTCACATTGATTTCCTGTGTGTGGGTATTACCTTCTAGGTTAATTCTTTTTGATCTAACCTTTTCTCTAGTACCTGTTCCCCTTTTCCTATTGGCCTCAGTTGCTTTTAAGGTATCTGCTTTAGTTTCTCTGCGTTAAGGGCAACAAATGCTATCTAGTTTTTAGGTGTCTTACCTATCCTCATCCCTCCCTTGTGTGCTCTCGCTTTTATCATGTGCTCATAGTCCAATCCCCTTGTTGTGTTTGCCCTTGATCTAATGTCCACATATGAGGGAGAACATACGATTTTTGGTCTTTTGGGCCAGGCTAACCTCACTCAGAATGATGTTCTCCAATTCCATCCATTTACCAGCGAATGATAACATTTCATTCTTCTTCATGGCTGCCTAAAATTCCATTGGGTATAGATACCACATTTTCTTGATCCATTCGTCAGTGGTGGGGCATCTTGGCTGTTTCCATAACTTGGCTATTGTGAATAGTGCTGC